CTATTCTCATCGATATCATTATCCAGGAGTTGCCCAAAGAACTTACAAAGTTGAATAAGAGTTCGAACAACTGTTTAAGCTGCTTAGAAGAAAAACCGTGTGTAAAACTTTGTTGCAGCTTTATGTGTACCGATGCTGATTGTTTTCCTTCGTACTTTAAAAGCAGCGATCTTCGATTGAAATGTACTGTATGCCACAAAGAAATTTCTTATTCAGAATTCTTTGTATCATCAGATTTTATTCAATCACTTCAATCATTAAAAGAAGTTCGTGAGTTAATGAAACACATTGACTGCCAAATTTGCAAATGTGGTTCACTGCTCGTGAACGAAACGCTGTACGCTCAACAAACATGTCATAGCTGTAAACGCACATTCTGTTTTTTCTGCAACAAAGACTGGACAGATGGTCCGAAACCTCGACGCAATGAACGCTACACTTGTGGAGCTAACTGTGACTATGACATTAAGTTGAATTATGATTTGGTTCCTTTCTTTTACAACAACGAAATTCTTATTCCTAATAGTCGTGTCTGTCCAAAATGCTACAATGTCGGCGGTTATGACGGAAAATGCAAGTTTCACACGTGTGCCGTTTGTACTCATGAGTTTTGCTTCTTTTGTCTAAAGCCGAAAAATCAATGCTCGAAGGACTACGAAACTCAGTGTGTTGAAGTCAAACGACAAGAGTTTACTGTATTTCCACGCATTGTCGGATCAAAGATTGAAAACGAGGATAGTCGAACTTTCAGGCAACCACAAGGCTTTTTTTCAATATATCCACGATTCTTGAGAACAATATTTGGCGGCTCATAAATACCCGTATGCTTTTCAAAACTCCAAAAGATTGATTTTCTGTCTTACTTTGTGAAAATCCTATAATCGATTTGTAAACTTTCTAATTTGCACTATTTTATTTTAACTATCATTGTTATTTGTTCTAATAATATATGCACGAATTCTTTGTTTTCTAAAAATCTAGAAATTAACACAACATGAATTATTTTGTCTGAGTTTAAAAGTTGTTTAGCAAACATGACCATGCTTCAAAGTTTTCATTTCTATAGCAGAGTCATTCTTATCGAGATACTCATTCTAGATAAAAATAGACATGAATAAGAGTCAAATCAAACTTTCAGCAAGAAAGATCGCATCTCGGTTAGAAATTTCTTATCTTTCTGGTGGCTACGTTACATCTCGTTAGACTCTGTTATCTCGCGATTCGTTCATAAAACTTTCTTGCATGATTTTTCGCCCATAAATATGGAAGGCAATAAACAACGTATAACTTGATAGGTTTATTGTTTTCAAAATCAACTCTCTTCAACATCTTAATTAAAAATAAAAAAAACAGAAAATTATAGAAAGGAATATGATACGCAATTATGAGTTAGAGCGTAACTTTTGACGCTCATAAACAAGAATATATGCATCAGATTTCAAGGCTTCGTTCAAAGATACTTGACGAACATGCTCATC